TGTCGCTGCGCGGAAGAGTCGTGCGCGCAAATGTCGCGTGCGCAAGTGTCGTGCGCGAAAATGTCGGCGCGCAAGTGTCGGCGCGCAAATGTCACGCGCGCAAATGTCGTGCCACGGTTAGGACGAGGTCCATAATCAAGAACTTCTTAAGAGAGAGCCCATCAGTAGATAATTTTTTCTTACTTCACAACAATGTTTTTCATCTGTAGCCTCTGCAGGAGTTTATTGGTACTTCACATTACTAAAAAATCATTATTTTATTCTTCATGATGTTTTCACTGATTTAGAATAAAATGAATTGAAAAGATATATTTTTGATTGTTGTTTGTATATTAACAAAACAAAATCTCCTTTTCTAACGGAGAAAAATAGGTCATTAGTCTCGCATTTTGCAATAGAAGGCAGTGTATCCTTATTACTTTAGAACTAAGGTTTTCTTTTTAAAAAAATTGTTCAAGTGACAAGGAAAGTGAAATCTATTTTAGAATACATCTACACACCTACACAAGTCAATAAATCATATTTCTTCCCAATATCATGCGCTTTTCAAAAAAGATCAGTTATTTAACATAGATATTGATTAGAAAGTCATTTATGAATGATCACAGAGACTTTCATTTTAATACAAACAAACGATTTAAATGTAGAAGAAAGCTGCTTATGAAAACAAATGAAATAAACATAAATATTTCATTTTTGCATATTTGACAAATTCATTTGCTCTGATTATTAAATGTTACATAGTGGTAACGCACGCATGTCATTATTGTTTGTGTCCAAGATAATAAGATATGATTTTTTTTAATAATCGAAAGACTGTTTGATTAAATTTCATCGATTTGTTCATGGATTTTTTACTTCAACAAACAGCATTTTTGAAAAGACAGTTAATATTGTTATGTAATACAAAATTACATATTCGCAATCGTTTATAAATTTGTACGACACTTTAGTGCTAAGTAGGGTGTGGGTGTGAGTCTTCATCTCTATCACATCCACACCCATTCTCGATACTGAATATGAATAAATTCTTTATTGACCCAAAAATAACCATTTCAACCAATTCAAATCATTGTAAATTGAAATTCATGCCTGATCTGATAAATTACTAATTATTCAATTTACATATTGATCGATAAACATTTGTTCATATTCATTCGTATAATGCCTGTTGTCGATTTCATGTTTATATATAAACGTTGTTATGACGTATTTTTCTTCAATATGAAATCAATGAAATAATACAGTGCTCATTTATATTTATTAGATCTTTGAGAATTACTTGCGAATTTTAATTCATATTTAAAGATAAATTATCTTCGATCTATACTGGGCTTATTTAAAAAAAATCATTAAATATGCAATAATTGTTGTAGAGAAGGAAAAAAGCATGTGACAAAACTGAGTAAATATAATAATGTTTACATTCAAGCCACTCTATTTTTGGTGTCAAAGAATAATTATTTGTCCTCAGAACTATTCGAAAGATAAAGCATAATAATCTTCGTTTATGCGTAGGATATTTATGATGAAGCATGTGACTTTTGTCACAACACTTTCGCTTATTCATTCATTCAATGTGAAAAAAAATCACATAAAGATATGTGTATTAAATATGTTGATTATTTTTTAAGATAGTTTCTAACTTTCATTAAAGTTATTCCTAGTTGATTTCTTCCTGATCCATCTCCTCCATCTCCCCAATAAGAATCCTCTGTTGTATGTTCAACTATCATACGATCTCCAGTTGATAATAATAATTGTTTAAGCTTTCGATGCTGTCTAAATTTTGCCAAACATGCTTTAAACATTACGTCATCTTTTACACTTGCCCAGTCAGGTCGCATTGCAGATTTATAAGATCGCACATAATCAAATGCTTCTTCA